TCAAATAGAAGCTCCACAAATCCAAACTCTGTCATTTAGTTTGTCTCTAAGCTCCTAAATCTGCTCCTCCGATGACTCGACGCGTTTGGATCCTCTGAAATGAAAGATGTTCATCACAGCAGGAAGAGAAATTATGAAGATCCGACGCTCCATCCAAGTAAAGAGGCGTAGAGCAATAAGAAAACTGTGTGGGGGTGAAACGAGCTGAAGATCGGCTCTGAACGCCGTGACCACGAGCTTTAAACCAGCATGTGTGAGAGCACCTTCACAGAGCTTTAAAGCCTGAAGATCTCACATCACGAGGCGTTAATCATCATTCATACACGAAACATCACGTGACCTGAAAAAGGGACAAAAAGGGAGAAGCTGAAGTTTAAACCCAGTTAAAGATGTTCATTTCCTAACTGGACTCCTTCAGTGTCTCGTGGTCCTGGAGAAACGAGCACAGGCGTTGCTCTGGTGGGATTTTTATCCCATTCTTCCAGATGAATGTGAAAGCTTGACTTCTGTGAACTCGGACTTTTGCTTTTTTTCCACAGATTCCTTCGGTGATCGAGTGGGCCGCTGCAGCTGCTTTATTTTCCTTGGCTGTGTGCTGAAAATCAGCCTGTTCCCACCTCCAGACTCCACTGTTGGGGCCTGATGGGCAGTACGGTGAACAATGACATCCAGCCTCGTGTGACGGATCCTCCCAGGAGTTCGTTGGCTTTAAGCGAGGCAAACTTGTTCTCTGTGAAGCTCCCCGCAAGCGACCCTTCACTCTTCTGACTCCTGTGTCCGACGTGTCGTCAGTAAGGTTCAGAGCGGCGAGGTTGTGAAGGTTTTGGGAGATTTCTTTGCTTTTACCTGTGCGACAAACTGATGGTGAAAACATTTTATCGTCTGGCCTCAGTCAGCTGATATCAGTTTGGGGGCCGGCTTACTTTCTAATCACAGGTTTCAGCCGTTTCTTGGCTTCGTGCCGCTTCGCTGTGCCATTCGATTTTATTACACAGAGCTAATTCTCACAGAGATGCTGCTCCTCTACATCCAGCCGTGGTAACATCTGACTCGGGTGCCTCCCACAGGTGAGGCGTTTCAAGCATGTCCAGCGTGGAGGAGGCCCCGTTACACCTCTGAGCTGTAGCATTCCAGCTAGACTTTATTCAGACGATGCACTCAATGATAATTACGGATGGACCATGGTGGGTATTCCAACCCATTTATTCTCAAGTTACCACAGACACATCGTAAGAGCTGTAATCATGACATAAAACAAAATAAACATTCACTTGATAGATTGATTCACGTTTCCGTTATGCTAATTAATTCACAGAAAAGGCACAGGAGGTGCTAGCATCAGCCTGCTAGATCACTCATAAACTTATTAACAATCAAATAACACATTTACAAATTGTCCAAAATGTAAACAACAAGTACAACAAACAAACATACCTGTTCGCCTTCCAGCTAGATGCTAATTTAAAGATGGATGGAAAACGGTAACTTTCTCATTAACCGTTTCTATGGCAAACAGTAGCAGTACGATCTTCCCTCCCGGAAGTTGCCCGTTCCAAATTTCAAAATAAGAGTCTAATCTATATTATAAGGTATAATTCGTTCAGGGATTTAACTGTTTGAAAAATATCAATAAGATAAATAATCTGGGTCATTTACACGAGCTGCCTCGGTTTCCCTCAGAAACGTCCAAGTAAACGAACCGATTTGATGGTGAACTCTTTTATCGCAGCAACTCTCAGGAGGATATGTTCTGCAGCTGCCTCCCTCCCCACTGTGATGCAGTTTAACAATGTTTTTATGACTAAATGTGATCAAATCAGAGTTACTGTTGAGTTTATAAATGTGTTTAAAGGACTGGAAACATCTAAGAGACATAAGATAACTCTGAGTTGTGTTTTCACTGGTGGAACGGTCACAGCAGGCTCACAGGGTGGATCAATCAAAAGGTCCTAAAGCACGTCCTGTGGTGCTGTGAGCGTTTCAGATGTTATTTAGGAACTGTAGATTCGTTTTTACATGTTTCAGTCACATCGTGAGTCTCTTTGTGACATCCTCCATTTCAGTTTCAGGGAGTCGTGACGAACAAAAGGAACCTCTGATCAATAAAACATCTCATTTAGTTTGTTTTTGTCAGACGATAATCTGCACTCGGACCGTCTGACACATTCTCAGTGTCAGACTTTTCTGTCTTTGCAGCTGAAGCTGTGTTTTCATTGACATTATTCGATTTCTTTCTCCTGTCTGGTTTTTATTTTTACAGTTGAGCGCAGACAAAGACTGGAGACTTCAGAAAGAAATATTTATGAGTCTCAAGGGGTTAAAAGTCTGCAGGAAAAACACAACTCGCATACCAAACCAATGAGACGGAGCCCCACGGTGAGTTCTGTAATCCAGAGCAGAGACCGAAAGACACCGAAATACACAAAGTCTGCAGGAACACAAACGTCTCACAGAGGCTCAAGTGTTCAAAATGAAGTGGCTGAATCTAAACTTTCAGCTGTTTTAGACACATGACACAGAAAAATACATTTCCTCATGAGGTGAATAGAAAAGCTGATATTTGAATCCGACTCTCAGCTCATCATTCAAACTAAAACGACATTTTTATTCCCAAAAAGGAGCCAGAGTTGGAATCTGAGCACAGATTTACAAGCTGAGGCCGGCAAACATTTCCAGTTCTTTCCAAGGAGAGAGAAGAAAAAAACAACTGTATGTCGAAACTATTGACTGTATGTAAAAATGGATGGTTCCCATCTTGAAGTCACCATTGTTTTAAAGCTCCTGCCTGTGACCGTGTTTGAGTTATCAGCTAACACAAGCTAGCCTGGTCAGCAAGCTTATAGCTAATTAACAGTAACAGCTGAAGAGTGGTCTCAGAGAGGCCGCAGCACAAACAAGCCAAATAGTGTCCCAAAACGTCGGCTGCATCCTTCGGAGGACCCGGCCTTC